TTTGTTTGTTTGTTTATTTTTAAGCGAGGCGATGATTTATTTATTTATTTTTAGGCGAGGTGACCCTTGGTTGACCTCACAGAATGCAAGGACCTTGTCAGCTTACAATCTCTTATTTTTATTTTTTTTTACACCTACAGCACCTGGTCTTCCTTGGATCTCCCATCCAAGTACTAACCAGGCCCAACCCTGCTAGCTTCTGAGATCAGATGGGATCGGGCTTGTTCAGGGTAGCATGGCCATAGACTTTCTGCATACTAATTAGTAATCAAATTTACTCACTGAATACCATACTTGTTGGAACTAAAGAAGTTAACAGTAGCAATTTTCAAAACTATGATGTCTTTCCTCTATTCAGTTTTCAAAACTATGATGTCTTTCCTCTATTCTGTTTTCTTGTCTCACTGGCATATGGAACCACAGAAGAGAAATTAGGATCCCAGCTGGGAGAGTGTTAGGAAGAAGCTAACCTGTGCTATAAAGAAGGAGAACCACATATTCTGCTTCAACTACCATAAACATTGTTGAGGCATTGATGTGAACAGGCTATGCAATTACCATCAATTACCTGGACATAGCACTTTTTTATTCTTGTTTATAATAATAGAACACATAGCTGTGGCAATAGAAAAAGAACATAATCATGAACAAGATAAGAAATAGGGAAATTCCAAAATTCCAGGAGGTTCTTCAGAGTCTCTAGGATCTAGATCAATTTCCTAAAACCACCAGCCCTGTTCTGATAGCAGAAAAGCCTCCCAATAGCATCTTTCATATCCTTGTTTCTCAAGCTATAGATAATGGGGTTGAGGAAGGGAGCAAGGATAACAAAAGTGATAGCAATCACAGTGTCCCAAAAAACTGAGTAGGTGGCTGAGAATCGCAAATACATGACAGCCACACTGCCGAAAAATAGCAAGAACACAGCAAGATGGGCAGCACAAGTGGAAAAGGCCTTGTGACGGCCCTCAGTTGAGGGCATCCCCAGAATCACCATGATGATCCGAATGTAGGACAAGGCAATGACCAAAAAAGAGGACCAAATCTCCACCACATGTATGGCATCTGCAATGACCACCAAGGAAGTATCTGCGCCTGCCAAGCTTAGCACAGGTGTAAAGTCACAGAAAATCTGCTGGATCTCATTGGAACCACAGAAAGTAGGGTGGCAATCCACACAATCTCAGGGAGTACAAGTAGGAAGCCACAGAGGCAGGATCCAGCTGTCAGTTGAATACAAAGTTTGGAAGTCATGATAGTTGGGTAACGAAGAGGATGACAGATAGCTATGTACCTGTCAATAGCCATCACTGTCAGGATACAGCCTTCTGTGATACCAAGAGAATGGAAGAAGTACATCTGCATGAAGCAGCCAGCCAGAGAGATGGTCTTCTGATCACTGAGTAGGCTGGAGAGTATCTTAGGGATGGTGGTTGTGGTATACCAGATCTCCAGGAAAGAGAGGACACTGATGAAGAAATACATGGGGGTGTGCTGGCCCATGTCCAACTGGATGACAATGAATATCATTAGGTTCCCAATTATGATAAATCCATAGATGATAAGCAAGGGAATAAAGAATAATAGGCCACCTCCATGCACATGCAGGAATATAGAAAAGAGGAACTCGGTGACCATCGTCTGATTCCCACGGGCCATAAACCATGTCATCTGTGAGGGGAAGAAAGAAGACAAGAAAATTCTAGAATTGAGATGGTGACTATTCACTTAAAATTGTTTCACTCCTTTCTGTAATCAGTTACTTGCTGACTCTGGTATCCCAAACAGGTCAGTTAGAAATATCTCTTGGCTGTACCTCCATGACAGAAGTATCTGGAATATTTGCTTATGGATTTCTAAATGAACTTTTTTGTAAACATCTTCAACTGATGCAAAGAAAACACAAAGTGACATATAAATTAAATCTCTGGAAATATTTTCTGGAGGTTAAGTCACTTATTTCATTTCTTAGTCCTTCTTCACACTCTCTGCTCTTCTGTTTAGCTTTTTAAAAAATATTTTTTATTATTCAATTACAGTTGACATATAGTATTATATTAGTTTCAGGTGTACAGAGCAATGATTCGACATTTGTATTACTTACAGAGTAATCACCACGATAAATCCAGTACCCATCTGACACCATCATAATTATTATGTCATTGACAATGTTCCCCATGACTGTTGTGTAATTACCAATTTGTACCTCTTAATCCCTTCACTCCTCCACTCACCTCCACGACCATCACCTCCGCATCTGGCAGCTTCAAAATATACTCTGTGTCTATGAGTCTGTTACTGTTTTGCTTGTTTGTTTATCCTGTTCTCTAGGTTCTGCATGTATGTGAAATCATATGGCATTTGTCTTTCTCTGACTGACTTACTTCATTCAGTACAGCACCCTCTAGGTCCATCATGTTGTTACAAACGGCAAGATTTCATTCTTTTTTACGGCTGAGTAATATCGCTTTAAAACATATACCTTTCTTTCCAACTATTCTTTACTCCTGTTCTTCAGAAAAGTAATTAAAAAAATATAAAGACACTGTAAGAAGCTCTTCTCTTTGCCTTTATATTATTCCCCCCATCTTTTTTATCTCTGATATTTAATCTGAGTTTGGCTAAATTATGTATGTTTATCTCTTTGCTTTTTCTGTTGGTTTCAGAGTAACATGCCTGTTTCTCATTAGATGGTAAGTACCTAGATGTCAAGAAATATTCCTCCTTTTCTTCTCTTTTTTATCTATAACTCCTTCTCCTCTCTCAGTTATTGATATTGATAGCTGCTCAAGCCAAGAGTCTCTCCAGAACCACCTTGAACCTAATTAGTGGCTGTCAAATTTTGGACAAGCATATAACTCTTCCGCTGCATATTTCATCCCTCTTAAGGAGGTCACATCCTTAAGAGACAAAGGAAGGAAAAAAAAAAAAATCACTGAATAAAAAAAAAAAAATCACTTCTTTATAACTATGGTTATCTTGGGGAAAAAAAAGTGTCACAAAAATCAGCTGCAATAGAAATCATACCAGCATCTACTTGTTGGGCAAAAAGAGTGACTAAATTTTTTCTCAAGGCTAATTAAAGTGATAGCAATACACATTACCACTTGACTATTTTAACATCTTTTTTATTGGAATTCTTATCTCCAACAAGTCATTCTACAGATGAGGATTCTTAAGCATAGCTTTTACTGACCTTCTTTTTCCAAATGCATTTAAGGGTAAAGCCCAAAGATCTAGGCTTGATATTCCTTTTCTTCTTGGATCTGGTTCTAATTAAATTTCAGAAGCAAATATTTTTCTGCATACTCATCAGCTCAATCAAATAGGTTTATTTTCCTGCATTTCTATTTTTGCTTATGTCATTCCTTCCTTCCATTTTCTTGATCTCTTTGTTTTGGAATCTTAGCTGCCATTATCCATTAAGTGTTCTCATTATCATGGAAATCTCATTGATCCTCACTGTCAGAAGTAAATATTCTCTCCTCTGACCCTTAAAAGTGCTTTATATTTTATCTTTTATGATTTCTAACATATCCTTCTTGCATTTTAAATATTTTTATATAAGCATGATCTCCCTCAAGTAGACTGAAAGCTCCTCATGAAGAATCATAAAGGATAAATAAAATGGTGTTATTGAAAAGTTATCTTTTAATGGTCATAATACTAGGCACTTTACATATTTTAT